TTTGCATAAAAGAAGAAAATCGTTGCACAACCTTTCTGGCTTGCCGTGGACGTCATCATCAGGATGAGGAAGCTGTATTTTTTTTTTTTTTTTATCGAAGATTCTCTTTGAAGATTTCCGTTTTGAATTGCATGCCATGTAGCCATCTTGTTCTTTGCACTTTTTCATGGCCCTTGTATTGAAAAAAAATAAGAAAGAAAGATCTCACTTGCTTCATTCATTCAAGTAAATCTAATATATCCTGAATTAAAAATTTATAACTTGTCCTAGCTAGTCACTAAAAATAAGCGTGCACGGTCGGCACAAATAATTTCTGACTCATAGACTAATTAGATAAACCAATCTAACAAGAAGTTGCACACTTTCGCTGAAAGAAAATTAACTCATCCTTACAGGACAACATTTAAATTGTTGATAGAGAAAAGTTTAGATAAATTGGATCACAGGAGTCTATCAAGGATGGGGCTAGCTTTAGGGCTCAAAGAGAGCTTATAGAAATTGTCTACCAACAAGGTTCTTACATTAAACAGAAGAATTGAACTTATAATTTTGTGAGTTATGGGTCAATTCCTTGTCAATTGGACCAACCTTTCTTAGGGTCATTTTAAATTACTTTGTTTAAGCTTATAAGATAAAACTTTTGACATTTTTCTTTATAGAATCAACTAAAATCTTTCTATTAATAAAGTGATAAGCTCTTCTTGACAGATGACAACAGAGAAAAATGACATAACTTGGTAAACGGTAAACGCGCACTCAAGTCACAAAAATATAATAAGAAATCATGGAAAACTATGTGACTCAGGCTATACATTATTCAAGTTTGGCGAAACATGCATTTCAATTAATTTTTTTTTTCTTCGTTGTTCTTTCTTTCTTTCTTTTTTTTTTTAAGCTTCCTCCCAAATCAAGCTAAACTTCCTCAAAGACAGTGATCGGAAATATTTCTTCAACAGATTAATGAAATAGGGTGAGATAGTTAAAAGGTTTGAGTTACTAGAAAAAACACATAATCCATTTTATTCCATTAAATTTATAATAATGACTAAATAATGGTTAAATGAGATTTGTTTTTCTTGTAAAACTACAAAAAGTGAAACGTTTTATTCCATTTCGGTCCAATAATGACCCTTCTATTCTATTTCATCTAAATAAGGAATGCAGGTGAGCTCTAACTAGAATAACAATATATCAGAAGCTGAATAATCAAGCTAACACCCAATTTTTTTAGTATTTTTTTTTAATTTATCTGTGCATATAGTTGACAATACATATATAACTCTTGTAAGCTAATCAATCTATGAACAAGTTGCTAAAAGCATATTTTGCCACAAACAAGTAAAAATTAATTTAATAACACTTTCTTAGAAGATAAGATTTTGACTTTTTTATATCAAACAATATAGGCGATAACTTTCTATCAAGAACAGATCCATTTTAGCTGCACTGATGGCTGTAATATAAATAGTAAAATAAGAAACCGGAGCCATCAAATAAATCAAGAAACATTAAAACTAATAATGTAGGGCAAAATTAGATTTTTTTATTGTATATATTATTCTACATAATTAGGGTGATTATAACTATTTTATTTTCTGTTGTTATTTTATTCTTTGATAGATCTTGAAAGATCTTTTGCCTTGTATAAATAAATCTCACATTGGACTTAAAAAGATAAGTTACTATTTTCATAAATTGTATTAAAGTATCAAAGCATGTGAAAAAAATTTTCATTGTTTTCCTTCTATGCTTTATTTCATGCTTCTAGAACCCCATGGCTCCTAAACCCATAGTTCTATCTCCTACCATTATGACTACTTTAGATGCTTCTATACCTACTGATAGAATTGCTTGATCCTCATCTTCTTTTGCCTCTCTATTGTTCATTGGGATCAGTACAATAGGCTTCTCGGTCTTATGTAGACCCCTACGCCTGTTGCTTCACCAACTTCTTCGGTACAAGTTAATTTTGTGATTACCTCTCCTTCTACTCCTTCCATTAATGTGACTTCAACACCAAGTATAATTCACTTACATTCCTCTAAATGCCTTTTGTCTGCATGGATCATTGATAATGGTGTGATCGATCATATATGTTCTTCTGTTGATCTTTTTTTGAGTTAGTTTCTATTTCTCCTATTTTTATTCAGTTAGCAGATAATTTTGTTGTTCAAGCTCATCATTCTAGAACCATTTATCTTTCCTTTGATTTTTATCTTACTGATATTTTGTTTATTCATTAGATTGTCTATCATTTGATTTATGTTTTTAAACTCACTTTTTACCTTCATTGTTTCTTAATCCTCAATACCATCATTGTTTCATTCAAGCCTAGGACTCTTGAAAGACAATTAGGATAGCTAAGGTTTAGAATGGTCTTTGTATTCTTTAAGATAATGCAAGTAGGTTCTCACCTTCTTCATTTTCTCTTGTTGCTTTATATTCTAAGTCTGTACCTTCTTCTAATTTGTGGCATTCTTTGGTTAGGACATGCCTTCTCTACTATTATTAGTATTTTAGGTCAAGAATAATCTTCAATCACTTGTAAATCTACCTTAGATAAAAGTTGTGATATTTGTCATTTTTCCAAACAAAGAAAATTTTCATTTCTTGTTAGAGTTTCTCACACTACTCATCCTCTTGAATTTTTACATGTTCATATTTGGGGTCCATTTAATACCACTTCTATTCATGGCCATCATTATTTTTTTTTACGATTGTTGATGATTACTCTCACTTCAATTTTCTTTTGCTATAAAAATTATTTGCTTGAATAATGGTCCTGAATTGCTCATGCATTCTTTCTTTGATTCAAGAGGCATTTTTTATCAAACACCTTGTGTTGAAATGTCTAAACAAAATAGTGTTGTGAAACATAAACATCAACATATTCCTAATGCTTCTCATGCTAATTTTGTTTCAATGTCATTTACCTTTAGCTTATTGCTCTTATGCTATTTTACATGCTGTTCACATCATTAATTGTCTTCCTGCCCCTATTTTGCAACAATAAACACCTTATGAAGTTCTTTATAATGCATTCCCTAATTTTTCTAATTTTTATATCTTTGGTTATCTTTGTTTTGCTTCCACTTCTATTTTTCATCGCACTAAATTTGATCATCAAGCTAGGAAATGCATTTTTCATAAATTGTTTTCAGATGGGATGAGAGAGTTAGAAAAACGCAATGTAACTCTACAAATCCATGCTTTTGAAGAAGCAGCCCTTGTGGACCTACTTAATTTTATATACAATAATAAATTATCAGGAACAACACCTACTTAATTTTATGTACAGCAATACATTGCATGATGATAAATTTGAGGTATCATCATGCATAAGTATTATAGTGGCATGTTGAGGACCATTCCTATGACGTGTGAGGTTGTGTTGCTCTATTGGAACTTTCTTTTAGTGTTCTCATGGAAAATGCAATTCAGCCATTGATAAATGAAGCAAAGCTGTTTCCTGTTGCACATTACAGAGACATAATTAATCCCTAAGATGAGGTGTGATGACTTCAAATATTTTATTAAATTTATTGGTATTTTTAATGTAATTAGAAGTCATTTATTTGAATATTGTTAGCAAAAATACAGTTAAGTGGATGAATGTATGTGAAAATGGGCTTGGAAATATGTTAAAAGTTAGTGGACCAATTTTATTATTTATTCTAGATTTTATGCATGTAAAGAGGCCTAATTTAGAGGCCCAAAGAAAAAAATTTTGGAGCCCAAGCCAAAGGAATTCAATCTGAAAAAAAATCTAAACAAGTCATGTTCACTATAGTAAAAATGCATTTCGCTACAATGAAGCATAATTTTAGTAAAATGCATAGTTTTGATTGTCAGCAAATTTTTAGGGCTTGGGCACCTCATTTTTGACCATTTAAATGTTGATTGTGATTTGAGTGTGTTGTGATGTGAGAACTTACACAAATGGTGAGGTAGAGCCTCATTTAAAAGAATTGAGTACATTTGTGATTCTTGATTATATAGTGAGATGAAGCCCTATATGTAACAGTTGGAGAATTGAAAGTGGAACAAGTTTAGCCGTATTTGTGAGTATGTGTTGTATATGTATTTTCTTCATATAAGATCACAATTATGTAATGTAGCTTTGAGAGGCCAAAATAGGCTATTGATATTATATTTGATATGTGTGGTCTCAATCAAGTGTATATGGTCCTTTTGGATTGGGTTTAAGACCCAAAGTATTCTAATGAGATAAGGAATAAGAATTGAGTACTTAAGGTAACAAGTTTTTGAAAGAAAAAATGACTTTTTGCACTTAAATGTTTAATTTTAGATTGGACCATTAAATCGAGTCCAAAATTTGTTCCATTAGCTAGTATACATTGTAAACTTGGTGTGGATGCTTGAATTACTCTAATCAGATGTTGGATATGAAAATGACACTTGTTAAAAGTTTGTCATTTTTTGCTATCAAGATGACAATAGAATTTTGGACAGGTGCACCGCAGCACATGATGTTCTTGCCATGGCGTATGTCTTAGTCAAAAATAGAGCGTGTGGCTCTGTGCCACATACTACGGTGCATGTGTTGCATGCTGCTATGCATGGCCTTTTTTTATGATTTAGAAGTTGTAGCTTTTTGAGTTATTTGATTGTACTTACGCTTCCACTAACCGTCTTATTTGAATATATATTTTAAGAAGTTGAGATCCTGTGATTTGAAAACAAATAAAAGGCTATTACTTTGATTTTGATCTGTTGATTGTATGATGTGAAATGATAAAGCTTGAATGTGAGACGGGACTTCACAGTTTAGTTTGCACTTTATAGTAACAGTCTTTAGGCAAAAAACAAAAAAACAAAAAGAGAGTAACAGTCTGATGAACTCCACGCTTATGGTATAATGTAATACTCTTTGTATAGATTTTAGGATCACCAACTAAATACTAGGTGATTAATAATAATCACCTTGACTAATCCAACAAACATTATGAAGTCAAATGATGAGTATAATTAATATCATTTTAACCCGTGGTAGAAACATGAGCCAGAAATTCCTCATCGTGTTCAAATTTAACCATGTCCTCCTCTGTGAGATTGACACAAGCTTCAATGCCACCACTTGACTTGGTGTCTTTTAAAGTAACCACATTCTTAAATTTCTAGGTAGGTGGTCCTACCCACACTAGATTTCCCCAACCAAAATCAAACTCATAGACCGGAAACCTACAGAGCGAAGTAAATGCAAAAGCTGCAATCTCTACATTACCAGTTGCTCTAACCATTTCTTCTTTCTTCTGATGTGGGTTCCATTGTTTACTTTCTCGAATCTTCACAAAAAAAAAAAAAAAAAAAAAAATCCTTATCGATTTTGTTGACCTCTTCTCTTAACTTCCTTCACAGGTCGTGACATTCTCCTTTCTCGTATAATATTGGAAGTGTTCGCATCGGCCAATAGTAGTTTCCAAAGGCATATTCTGGTAATATAGGTTCCATTCTTGGCCGTAGATTTGCTATCCATGCAACTAACTGAATCTTCTTCTCGCTTCCTAATTCTTCCTTAGTGGCTGCTAGAAACCTTGTCCATATGAAAGTTGAAAACACTCAACTCGTGAAGGTGGTTTCTGATGACCTTTCAGAACGTTTGTCATCTTCTCAGAGTATTTTGCTTTTAGAGATTCTATCGCGGATGCTTCCAACACGAATCTCTTGCACACAATTTTGTCCTTGATGACAAGAGAATCCGGGTTGTATCCCTACACGTCTTTTGGCGGTAAGAGTATGCACGATTGGAAGTGGGTCCTGATTGGTTCTGGATTGCCACGTGTCACGGCGGCCCAGGTCTTGACGAACTGGAAGTACGACAGTGCATCAGCTATGTTGTGGGAGATGCAAACACCAATGGCGATTCCGCCACAATCAAAGAAATTGACTTGGACTCCGAGGACTGTGTCGACAGCTTCGTCCATTTTGAAGGGAAGCAGATTGCTTACATCAGCTGGAGAGGGGTTATCGGTGACTTGGCTGAGGCGGCAACTGACCCTGGTTTCTATGTTAGGGACACCCTCGTCGTTGCAATCTACGATCAAGTTCTTGTTGATGAGCCTTCCGGTGAGTGGGTAGTAGTGAGCTGAGAGCTGAGATAATGATTTCTTGATGTGGTCGGAAACCTTGTTTATATTGAATTTGTTTGCGACATCATCGGCTTCGAGGAAATAGACCATAGAATTGTTGACTTGGGGACTTAACTGGTCAAGGAACGAGAGGTAATAGCGATGAACATGTTGAAGTGTAGGAGACGAAGGTTTCACCACTTCTGTAGAGATTACCTCCACTTGGTTGCAGCGTCATGTTTTTTTCTTTTTATTTTTTTTTAATTTAGTTTGCTTTCTCTCTATGCTTCCATTGCTTCATTGCCTCAAACAACTCATTCTTTTTCACCACTATTTATACATCTCTATTATTTGTCCTCTTCTTATTGGAAAAGTTTTCGTGTTATATTTAACTAACAATATGTATCAGATATGATTTTGTAGCTGGGTCCCATGTGACCAACTGTTCAATGGGTGAAGTTTCGTGCAGTGAGTATTATAGTTTTAATGTGAAAACAAAACTTTATATATATATATATATATATAACATTGCATACACTATGAAGGGATCTTTTGACCAATTTTTTGGGAAAACATGAGAGATTGGATTTGTTGACTTGTACGTATATGGAAAGCTTGTCTCTCTTGATATAAAAGACATGTACCTAAGTAATTTGCATTCAATAAGTAGCCTAAGCATTACTACACCATATTGGATGTTTAAAATAAATATCTCAATTATAGCTATTGTATCAATACTTGAAAATAATAAAGGTACACTTTTTTTAAGAAAATCCAAAACAATTTTGAAAGTAACAGAGTGCATGAATAATCAACAAGGACCAATTTTGTTGGGATTCAAAAGGGCAAATGCAATGAGGCAGTGCACTGGTTGGTGATTAAAAAGAATGGATAACGCGTACGGCTGTTGACCAAACCCAAAAAGATACCAACTTAGCAAGCATACGTTATTGATTAATTAATTATTACAAAGCATACCACCGATTATTAATTATAAAAAGGTAATTTTAGGAAACCAAAAGCCTAATATTGAAAAAAAAAATTATATTAAATTTGAATGGTTAAGATTTGTGAATTTAAAAAACCAAATATTAATTAATTATTTTTAATGGGACAAAAGTAATTTTGATATACTTATCTTGGAATTTTAAGTAGAGAAAATGACAAAAAAAGAAATCCTCGATACATGCAAATGATAAGGAAGTCTTGCAAAGTGCCATAATTTTTTCAATCCCTAAATACCTCTTTGACATTAATAATTTTTTATAAATTAACTAAAATATCCTCAATTTAAAATAAAAAAGTGATAGCTTTAGCCTAAAAAACATATCAATGACTATTTTAGTTTACATAATGAATAGAATGAACAAGGAGTACAACTGTCCCTCTGCAATTTTTTGATTTGTAGAAATTTAAATGTTGTAAATATTCATGACTACTTTAATTTAAACAATGGCTACTTTAGTGATGACTAAAATAAAACAAGCACTTACAATTTTCCATGTGCAGTCTTTTTATTCACTTGTAATTGTTCCATTTTAGTCATCACTAAAAGAAAAGTAATTGTTACTTAAACTAAATAGTAACACAAATATTTATAGTAGTTGGACTTTAGTGAATCAAAAATTTGCACAAAAAAGTTGTAATTGCTTGTTCCATTTATGAAAGTAGTCATTGCTTAAACTAAAGTGGTAATTTTATTATTATCTTTTCGGACCAAAGCTATTAATTACTTTTTTTAATTTTAAACTAAGAATATTTTAGTCATTTCACCAAAAATAATTAATATCAAAAAGTCCCTAAAAACTAGAGAAGAATTATAGCATTTCGCATCGTTTGCATATTTTAGGAGAATTTTTTGTCATTTTCCTTTTTAAGTAAAAATCAATGACCTTTAAAATTTTGTAGAATGCCTTACATATTAATTGAAATATTGGACTTAAAACCATATTTGAAATGTAGGCAATAGTTTATTACGAACCATCTTCCGATCAAATTGCATGGAGACAAATGAGGGGTCTAACAAATCAGAAGTTGAATAATCATAAATAAAAAAATAGAAAATTTTCAATAAAATCTCATCAAAATTTCATAATTCCTTTCAAGCCTCTGGATATTTTTCTAACATTAATAATCTTAGGTTAAATGATTAAATTGCCCCTTGTTTAATGATAAAAGAAATTTCACGTGGGAAATTGTGATTTCTTATTCAATATTTGCAATTAATAACACAAAAAGTTACGATTGCTTAAACAAAAGTTGTGATTGATTATTTTTGAAACTTAAACTTTAATAATAAAAAGATATTTCACATGAAAAGTTGTGATTTCTTATTCAATATTTGTAATTAACAAAATAAAAGTTGTGATTGTTTAAACAAAAGTTATAATTAGTTATTTTCAGAACTTGGTTCTTCAATGATAAAAAACATTTCATGAAAGATTGTGATTTCTTGTTAATTTTTTATGAATCACAAAATAAAATTTGTAACTAATTATTTTCACAACTTGGACTTTACTCATAAAAAAATCATATGAGAAATTGTGATTTCTTGTTCAATATTTGCAATTTACAAAATAAAAGTTGTGATTTTATAAACAAAAGTTGTGACTGGTTATTTTTTGAACTTAGATTTCAATAATAAATGAAATTTCACATGAAAAGTTATGATTTGTTATTCAGTTTTGCCATTCACAAAATAAAAATTGTGATTGCTTAAATAGAAGTTATAACTAGTTATTTTAAATAAGGGGTAATTGAGTATTTAACTTGAAATCATTAATGTTAGAAAGGTATCTAGGGACTTGAAAGAAATTATAGCATTTTGAGAAACTCAATTGTCATTTATATATTTTGGTGGGACTTTATTGCCATTTTCCCTTCAAAACATCCGATTTTCTTTAATATTTTATCATATAGGGTCATGCAAATAATTGGAAAATGCTTATACAAGATTGGAGGTGTTTGATCTATGACCATGTTTTTAGGGAAATTAATACCTATATAACTAGATTGCACATAGCATGCACATATTTCTGATTATTAAGCCTCATGGTGAGGACCATATAGAAAATTATGGGAGAGTAGCAAAGAATCATACACTACAAAAAATAAGACTTTTGGCAGCGACTAAAGGTCAATGCCAAAAGTATAAATGTTGTCGCTAAAGGTCTTTAGCAACAACAAAAGTTCACCATCATAATGGCCATTGCCAAAAAATTTTAGCAACGACAGAAAGAGTTGCTTCCAAAAGTTGATCTTTAGTGCTGACATACGTGGCTGCTAAAGGTCAAAAGTTGCCACCAATACTTTTAGGTTATGTCACCACTAATGACAAAACTTTTTGTTGCTACCAAAAGTGAAGGTGAAAAAATGGTATTTACTTTTGGCGATAAAGACTGTTGCCGCTAAAGGTAGTTAATTGTCGCTACTAAAAGTTGAGTAAAAAATATTACATACTTTTGGCAATGAAGTGTGTCACCACTAAATGTTAATATGGCGGTGACATTTAGACACCACCAAAACTCAAGCAAAAAAATATTATTTACCTTTAGTGGCAACAATATATTGCCACTAAAAGTAATATCCAATAGTTTACACCTTAGGTGGCAACTTATTGTCACTGCTAAAAGTTGTTTGCAAAAAAAAAATTATATATCTATATATATATATATATATTCTTTTAATTTATAATTTTATATTTAATTCCTTCTATCCAACCTAATATATGGCACATAGAAATAATATTAAAATTCAGTAACCAATAATATAATAACATAATACCAACATAGAACTAGAATTACAATACAAGAATTTGTAACAACAACAATCCAATTCAACACTAGAATATAAAAGCAATCCAACAATGTATGAGAGGAAAAATAATACAAATAAACTAATTTTCCAGCTAAATTACTATAACTGTCATCATCACTTCATGTATCATTGTTTGGAGCTGAACCTGAAGTTAGAGCTAGAGCTGGTGCTTGAGGCTATCCCTAAAAAAAATTGAATTATGATTTATCTTTTGAAGAATTAATCAAATTCTAAATAATATACATACATACATACATACATACATACATACATACATACATACATATATATATATATATATATAAGTAATGTAAAATTAATAATTACCTGCTGAAATAAAGTCATGATGGTAGCCATTTCATCCTGAATCCTTTGTGAAATATTTTGTTCCATCTACTTATGCTCTTATTGATGTCTTTCATGCTCTTCTTAAAGTCTCCTCTCAAAATCTTCTTTCATTTGTTGCTGCATTTTTTTCCATCTTAAAGGATTGAGATTGGGCCCTTTTTTTTTTTTTTGCAGGATGCACTTTGTAATCTTTACCCCTCACAGACCCTGACCTTTCGCCAAGAACTTGGCTTCAAATCTCATCTGAGGTCAATTGGAAATCATTATTTGAGTCTTGTTGCTATAAATGATCCTTAAGTCGAGCCTGTAAATAAATTAGAGTTAGTTAATAAATTAATTTATAAAAAAAGTTGAAGTTTAATTATTTAAGAAAATGCATACATGAATATGCTTTGAATGTGGATTTGCCTACTCAAAATGTCCATCTATAGTCTTCCTTGTATGCTCTATCTCCCACATCCAATCAGATGGTGGCAAATCTCTAGTAACATGATCTCTCTACAAAAAAAAAAACATCAATGGAAAAATATAGTAGAGATATAAAGATATTAAAATTAAGAACTTACCAATCTATCTTCAACTTCTCCAAATGATCGAGGTCCACAAGTATGTTTTGTTATTTGCTTTCTTCTATTTGTTTTGTTTCTTGCACTTATTGCCTATAATAAAATTTTAAATTGATTAATATTGCACTTTATTTATGAAAATTATAACTTTAAAATAATATAGAAGCATACCTTAAATTTATCAGATCCAAAATGTTGTACAAGCCAAGCCCACTCACTAGGACTAATAAACGAAGGTATTTTAACCAACATATCTTCATCAATAGAATATTTTTGATAATAATCTCTATGTAACTTACTTTTCCAATCCCTAGCTTGTTTTTTCATTGTTCCAAATATAGCAGACTCAAATTGCTCTTTCTTTGATTCATCCTCTGGTTG